TTAAAATGTAAATATTTTTATCCAAGTGAGTTTTCAGGATCTATGTGGCCGGTTTGTAGTACATCCACCACTATTTCAAACTTGATAGAGAAATGAGGAGTCTTTCTAAAAGAGCTTCACAACTTTGTGTTTTGGGGGGACCACCACTTTGAGGAATCTGCTGAAGGCCCTGAACTGTGCTCCTCGACATGTTTGTGCAGCCTCAAGGAGCTCAGGGGCTCACTGCTACGTGAGAACCCTGGCTCTCGAGTGTCAGCGTTATGCCATTGAAGATGGAGAAGCAACGAGCCGAGCAAGCAGGGTCCAATTCACCAGGAATGTAACTCCAAACAGACTGGCATCCACTTCTGGTGGGCTTTGAGACTCTTTATGAGCCAGGTCTGTTCAAAAAGGTGGAAGAAATCATTATTATTTCTTGAGTATGGGTTTGGAACTGAAATTGGGATGCACAGCATCCTCTGAATGTCACATTAAGAAGAAGCATGAATCGGAACCATAAAGATTATCTTGTTCTCGGAGATGACAGTGCCGTGACAAGCGCCACCGGGTTACCCCGGCCTCCTTTGGTAATGAAAATGTGTTAAGAATCAGTGTTGATACTTGCCCTCTACCCTCACCTGCTGCCACCTGCCTCTCTGCTCTGCAGTTTGGCATAGTTGATGTCACATACTCCAGCTCCCTGAGCTTGGCTGGGAAGGATGGCATGGTCTTCAAGGCACTGGACTACTACTGACTGCTCTCCCCAGTGGCTGGCTGTGGTCACTAGAATAATGGCCCCCCAACATGTCCACGTCCTGATCCCTGGAGCCTGCCAGTGTGTTTGTTACCTTACATGGCAAAAGGGACTTGGCAGATGTGACTAAGGTAAGGATCTTGCCATGGGGAGATTATCCCAGGTTGCTTAGGTGGGCCCAGTAGCATCACAAGGGTCTTCATAAGTGGAAAAGGGAGGCAGAAGAGGGAGAACCAGAGAGAGAGCATCTTGTCTGGGAGAGACTGGTGAGGCCACGGCGGGCTTTGAAGGTGGAGGAAGGCGGTATTGAATGCAGGTTGTCTTTAGAAGCTGGACAAGGCAGGTGAACAGTTCTACTCTAGAGGCTGTGCAAGGAACCCAGCATTAGCTGAGTCCTCGGCTTCAGTTCAGTGAAGCCAGTCCGGACTTTTGATCTCCAGAACTGTAAGATAACAAATAATAAAAGCCCAAGTTTACGGTAATTTATTACAACGGTAAAAGGAAACTAATACAGGCTGAAGCAAGGCTATTGGAGAAATAAGGGGGAGGCTGGCAGAGGAGGGGATGGACCTGGTCTTCAGGCCAAGACTAAAGAGGCCGCACCCAGCTGATAGGACCCACTGAGGTTTGTCTGACCATCCCCGCTCTGAGGATTGGGAAGCTGAGCACAGAGAGAGATGGAATCACCCATCCAAGGTTTCACAGCAATGAACGGCTGTCTTGGAACTGGCTCTGACTGAAATGGCCCTGTGCTGGTTCTCAGAGAGCCCTGCAGGATGCATCAGGGAAAGGGAGTGAAAAGAGGCCAGCGTCTCTGCCAGCCATCATTCTGTCCCTGCCCATGGGCCAACTCTGTGAAGAATGGCCAGCAAAACACACTCATCTCCTCTGCTCAGGCCAAGAGGAGCCCCTTATGAGGGGAGAATCTGCAGTGGGCGTACCTCTGAGGGGTTAATGTTGCTCAGACCGGAGGACAGAGTGAGGAGACTGGGGAGAGCTGGCCTGGGGCCTTAAGGCCCAGTATCAGAGCATGCTTCCAAGTGTGGGGACGGCGGGGTCCCTGCTGCTCAGGCCATTGCTTCCCATGTCACCCCTCCCCTCATTCTGCAAATGTGATCAGACTTAGGCTGGACTCCCTACCAACTTGTTCCTTGAAAGTAAAGCCTGCTTGTGCCCTATGGACTTGCTCTGAGCCCTTGAACAGTGCATTAAGGATCTCCCCAGAGGGTGATGAAAAAAACCATTTAACTCGCTGGTAGGAGTGCATGCTGATGGTAAAGCACTTTGGAGGTATAGTTCAGTGTTTATTGTAAGCTTCTATCCATTATTTACAATAAAGAGCAGAAAATTGGAGCAAACCTATATAGATGACTCGAGGTGCCTGATGAATGAGTTGCGGTGTACTGTACATGACAGAATATTCCGACATGATAAAAGGGGTGCTGACCAAGGTTAAAGGGCATAAAGAAGTACACAAATGAAAAAATCAGTGTGTGAAATTTGATCTAGTGGTATCAGCTGTGGAAAAATGTAGGCACATGAAGGGAAGAAAATAAGCTAAAACAAATCCAGGGCTTTTGGATTATAGTAATTTTATTTCCTATTGTTCATACCTTACTGTCTGAGTTTTTTACCTTGAATTTAACATGGAGAAATAAGCTTCATATCCTTCAACCATATCAGTTTACTTCTGGGAGTCTCTCGAAGAAAACAATTGTGTATATGGATTATGGGCTTTATATAGAGAGATGTTTTTTAAATTGAGATGTAATCTACATATACCATAGAATTCACCATTTAAAGTGTACAGTTTTATTATATTTACAGAGTTGTGTGGCCATCACCATTGTCAAATTTCAGAACAATTTTATTACCCCCAGAGGAAGCCCCACACCTGTTAGCAGTCACTCCCCATTCCACCTTTCCCCTATCCCTGGCAACCACTGATCTATGTTTTTGTCACTATGGATTTGTCTATTCTGGACATTTCTTATAGCTGGAGGCCACCCAACGTGTGGCCTTCTGTGTCTGGCTGCTCTTACCCAGCACAGTGGCTTCAAGGGCCATCCATGTTGTAATATGCATCAGTACTTCATTCTTTATTTTTAGGGCTGAATAATATTCCGTTGTATGGGTAGGCCATGTTTTATTTATCTGTTCATCTGTTGATGACCCTTAGTTGTTTCCATCTTTTGGCTATTGTGAGGAATACTTTTGTGGGGCCATAATATTTTCATTTTTCTTGGGTATACACCTAGGCACAGAACTGCTAGGTCATACAGAAACTGTATATTTAACTGTGAGAAATTGCTGAACTGTTTTCCAAAGCAGCTCTCATGAATATTTGTGTTATGAGAACTAGAAAATAATGTAGCTAGCAGTGATAGGAGAGTGCTTAGGTAAATTCCATTAATCCCCTTAGCAAACTTAGAGACCTTGCTCTGGGCATGAGCTGGCCTCCAAGAGGTGTGACTCCTCACTGTCTTGCTTTTGAAGTACTCCCTCTGTGGGTGGCCATGCAAACTTCACGCTTTTTTTAGAAAGGAAGTGGGATCAGAGGCATATGGATTCTATATCAAGCCCAAATGAAATTCACCAAAACAGTAGATGTATCAGCTTAGTTATTTTTGAAACAAGGAGTATGGAAGCGTTAGTGTAATTGCCTATGCTGTTTATTGGATAGGAAACTGAAAAATATAGTTACAGTGGTTTTATAACAGCCCTGAATTGTAAAGTAAGTGAATTGGGCTCAGCAGGGCTGTAAGGTCAGGTTTCCTGCCTGTGTCTGTTGACTGAGTGAGATCCTGTATGTAAGCATGCTTAGAATCCCCCTGTTCTTGGGCATTTTTTCCTAGGCTTATACATGAATCTAGAATAGCAGAGATGTACTCAGAACTCAGTTTATCTTGAAATAGTATTGTTTGTGTTGTGGGTTGGTCCAATTAAGGATCTGTTGCCTGCCTGACTTGGAACCACATAGCCATCACACCATCCCTGACCTGTAAAGGAATTGTGCTGCAGACGTTGGTCTTTGGGGATGGGGCAGACAGTGTGCACTAGGCTCATCTTGATGTTGTGGGTTTTTGAGTGCATTGTCTTTGAGAGGCTGTCCACAGCATATTTTAACCTTCTATATATTTCTGTTTTGATATTGACTCTAGTTCTTAAAACTGTATGTTTAAAACGAAGACAAGTTACAGTCAGTGCCATTCTGATGGTGTTTATCAATTGGTAAATGCTACTGGGGGAGACAGAGCCTTGTTGTTGAACCAGTTTGGGGAAATAACATGTTCAAAATTCATGCTTGTCTCGGGGCGTTTGGCTGTGGTTGCGGTGTTTCGCCTGTCCCGGGGCCAAGGACTTGAACAGGAGTTATGGGAGAGTTGAATTAGTGAAATTTAGGTTATCGGATTCCTATGAGGACCAGTCATTGTGCATTTATAGAGAACTGAGTAGATAGCTGCCCAGACTCAGACAATTATAGGTGCGGCCCGTTTTATACAACAGCTGTCTTGTCAATCAGTGTGATCATGGGCGTTGGGGAGGGGGAAGTTCTACTTGAAACCCATCTGGAAGCCCTTTCCTTTATCTATCTAGGCCAAGCCAAGGCTTCCTTAATCAGACCTACTTCAAGGAGAGAGGTCCTTGTTGTTTTTCTCCAGAAAACAGAAAGGACCCTTTGCAATTGCTGATTCCTACTGGATTAGGAATACAGACAGTAGTTGATGGGCATCTCCTTGCGTTGTTACCATGTTTGTATTTGGCTTTCTGCGTCTGGTCAGTCATTAATGTTTAGCTCCTTAATTCATCACCACTGGTAGATGAAACTTAAAAATACATTTTTGGTAGATTTAAGCTGTAATGCATGGAAACCAACAGTTTGGCGAGGCATCTGGTCAGGGAGGGAATAAGAACAAAACCTGCTGTGGCGGGAGAGCTGCCTTCCGTGGCCCTCAACTCATTAAGCAACACCGTGGGGAGAAGCTGGCTCTTTGACCTGTTTTTGTAACTGCCAATATCTATTTTCACTGGTATTTGAAGCTCCACTTTGAGATAGTAATGCTTTTAATTGTGAGTGTACTGATACTGTCACTGATTATTGTCTAGGCAAAGCCAGTGAGTTAATTTTCCAACCAAAGAGGTGGAGCAAAAGCAGTCAGTTGCATAATATATAATTTTGTATTAAAACTGAGTTCTGGAGTTGATTCAGCAGACTTATGCAAAATTGACCTGACTTTCAATTTTGTTTTCATAATTTATTTTGCAGGATAACAAAGCCATTGACCTTTGCCGATTGTGTTGGGGATGAACTTCCTTTAGGATGGGAAACTGTATATGATAAACAAATTGGAATTTATTACATGGACCACATAAATAGTAAGTAGAGTGCCACACTTGAGTTATTATATGTGAATGAGTGTTCATGTTGATCTCAAAGATGCTATAAACTTTTTGTTGAGTGAAACAATCATTGCTGTCCAAGGCAGTATTAAAATGGATTTTATAAATGTCATCTGAAGTTTTCATTAGCTGACTTCTTCAAAAAGTGAAGCAGTTATGGAGCTCCTTAGCTTGTGCATTGCTCAGAACTACATGGAATATATTTAATGGGGCTTTTAATACCTAATATAAGGAATAAATTTTCCAGGCAGTCTGGAAATAGAAATATCTCATAATGAGCAGGTTGGGTATTGCAAAGTGGAGCTTACAAGTTCTTGGAACAATGAATGCCCATGTGGTTACCTTAACTTCATTTTATCTTCTATATTTAATTTTAATAAATCTAAATTTAACTATAACACACCAACCCTTTTTGATCTATGTGCAGGGAGAACATGGTGTAAAGATGACAGCTAGAATATTGATCCTTGACCCATGTCCACCTTCTTGGTGGAGTTGTTCAGAGCAGTGGTTCTCAACCAGGGTTGATTTTTGCCTCCTGGGAACATGTGGTAACATCCGGAGGTGTTTTCGATGGTCACACCTAGGGAGGGTGCCCCTGGCATCTAGTGGTGGACACCAGGGCTGCTGCTCAGCCTCCTACAGTGCAGGGGACAGCCCACTGGAGAGATGACCCCAGATGTCCATGGTGCTGGGCTTCATGCCCTGGATCACGGGCTCTGTTGTGTTCTGAATCCATCTCAACCACCCTCTGTTGTCTGTGTGTGCTCAGGGTGTCTGTCTGGCTGGCCTTCCTTCCCAGCTGCTGGTGGGCAGCCTCCATGGGGGAGGGCTGCTCTCAAGGTGAGGGCTGCTGCTTGAGCAGCCTGGGCACATGTGCCCTGTGACTGCATCACCGGGCTTCGGCCTCCCCGGGCCCAGGAGGCATTACTGAATGGCTAGGCATCTGCCTTACCCAGCCTTTCTGAAAGCCTACCTGCCACTGGGGCCCAGGACCTGTCCTGACTTGTCGCTCATAAACCCAGCCTGCTCATCCCTCCATACCCTGTCTGCTGTGGGCAGCCTTGCTTGCCTGCTGCTGTATCACTGCAATTGTTACAGAGTTCCTCTCTGTACTGCCACTCTGTAGGCTCTGGGGACCCAGGAAAGTGACACCCAGGCTCCATGCTCAAGGATTCGACGTGGCACTCTGACATAGCCAGGGACCCTAAAGCTGAGTGATCAGCAAGGACTTTCTTCTGGCCACCTTGAGTATAACTGGGATGGCTCAGCACCGTGGGGTGCACATGATGATGTCAGCTCCAGAGTCACACCACCTCCTCCCTCCAAGGCCCTCAGACAACTCAACTCTCTCTTTTTTCCTCAGGCAAAAAGAATAATTATTGTTGTAGCAATGTGTACATAGGGGACCAAAAACCCCACTCCAGAAAACTTACTCCCAAGAAGCCAACTTTTGGTAGCACCACTTTAAAGGTTCAGAACCTGAGTCAGATACTTAATTGTAATTGTGCAGGTTAGTGCTGGGGTGAGGGACCAGAGGACCCCGGGCTGACCACCTTTGAGGTTCCCAAAGACCCTCCATGCACTGGACAGAGTTTGAACAACGCCGATCAGTCTGCTGGCTGAGTACACGTGGGGACGCTGGGCACTTGCCAACAGCTGTGCCTCTGCCCCACCCCAGGCCCCCAGAATCTGAACTCTGGGGCTGAGGCAGGAAACAGAGTGGTGTTTCGTTTGGCTTCTTATTTCCCCATGTGAGCTTTTAAGGCCTGGAGAGGCTCTCTAAGAGGGCCCTGGGATGGCAGTGTGCATGGGGTTGGGGAGATGGCAGGAGCAGGTGAAAAGGGAGAACTTACTTGAAACATCCCAGCAAGCCCTCATGTGTGTGTCTGTGTGTTACATAGAATTGACATATTTACTACATGGTTAACCATGTACAGGTAAAATGCAGAGAACATAAAATTAACCATTTTAAAATGTACAGTACAGTGGCATTTGGTGCATTCACAGGCTTGTGCAGCCACCCCTCTGTCTAGTTCCAGAACATTCCCTCACCCCAAGTCAGGCCCCAAACCCATGAGCAGTCACTGCCCATTCCTTTCCTGTCTACCAGCCTGGCACCCACTGAGCTCCTTTCTGTCCTTATGGATTTGCTTGGTCCAGACATTCCCTGTAAGTGGAGTCACACAATATGTGACCTTTAGTGTCTGCTTTCTTTCATTCAGCATCAGGTTTTCAAGCTCCATCAATGTTGTAGCCTGTGTCAGTACTTTGTTCCTTTGTGTGGCTGAATAACCTTCCACTGTATGGATAGACCTCATTTTATTTATCCATCCACCATTGATGGAATCAGGGTTGTTTCTGCCTTTTGGCTGTTATGATAGTGCTTCTCAAGAACATTTTTTAAAACTTATTTTGCATATTTATTTAAGATTTGGGTAGGGAAATTTTACTAGTACTTCTTTCCTGTGAAGGATCCCCTTGTTTTGTTTTGGCTGCCAGCAGCCTGAATGTGTTTACCAAGATGTCGTTGTCATAATGGAGCCACCACAGCCTGGGATCTCCAGGTTTGGAGCAGGGACAGCGCTTTCCAGTTTTTGCTTCCCTTAGGGCGGCTCTTCTGTTGAAGTCTCCCTTGGGAGGGTTGTGGCAGTAAAAGAGGCTAGCCTTCCAGAGTCGGGTGTCCCGGCCATAGGCCCCTCCACCCCCTCGGTATCGGATCTGCTTTCGGGCCTGCCGTCCTCTCTCTAGGGAGCAGACTGACCCTTCCGCTCCTCATTCAGGGAGCCTGCAGCCAGTAGTCACCGATTGCCTTCTGGGTTTCAGACTAATGAGAGGTCCTGAGAATGTAAAGATGAAGGAGCTGTGTGCCCACCTTCTAGGGGCTTGTAGTTTAGGTGGGAAACAAAGAAATAGCAAAGCAATGCGTGCCAAGCAATCAGTGCTGAGAGCTGTGATCCCAGCCATTGCATTGTGACACATGTGCTCAGAGGGGCGGAGGAGGCCTCCAAAACGAGATGCCTTTGCAAAGAGACTTGGAGTATGGTATGGTTTCCTGGTGGGCAGAAGAGGACAGAAGCCGCATCTACAGAGCATGAATGATCATGTCCAAATATGTGGACTTTGGAAAAATTCCGTCTGTTTAGCGGATGTTTGTGGGGAAAAGGACAGAAACTCAAAATGGTGCTGGCAAGTTAGCTTTGGGACTCATATAACATGTAGAGGATATTGGACTTTGTGCTTTCAAAGAGGTTTGTGTGGGAAAGCGTTGCAAGCAGCGCTCGCGAGGCAGGTTCAGGCAGTGCAGTGAGGATGGCTCTTGGTGGGATGGCGCAGGGGCCTGGGTGTTTCTGGAGAGAGATCACAAGGGCCTGATTGCACTAAGGGGCGACAGACGGAGAGAAGGGTATGTCGTCAGTCATTATGAGGTCTAGGGCAGCCATCGCCAGTTCTTAAAGGCCCAGGGAGTACTCTGGGTGAGGGAGAAGATCAGTTCTCTGAGGACGAGTCTCAGGGGCGTTCCCAGGTCAGCCCAGCAGCCTCAGACGGCACTGCTCACTTGCAGACGGAAGGCAGGAGGCACAGTGCCGCTGTTTGGTTTGGTGTTCGGGTTGGGAGTGAGGAGGCGCCCTATGAGAATGAGTTGGGCTGTGAACCGGTGACTCACAGTCCCTCTGGGTCTGTCCAAGTGGACACACATATTAGGAGGCAGTTGGAAAGAAGAGATGGGAGCTCCAGAGAGAGGTTGGAGCCCAAGGAGGCACCCGCCCCGCCTGGAGCTTGTGGTGAGAAAGCCAGGGTGCAGACTGGGTGCCGCACGGATGGGGGCAACACGGAAGTCGACGGACTGCAGAAGGGCTGCTAGTGTGGGGAGTGTGGGAGGGGGCAGAGGGGAGCAGCGAGCCTGGGCATCCCGACGCTGAGGGCAGTGAGGCGGGGTTGGAAACACCCGTTTGTGTGACAGTGACAAACTCATTTGGGTTCATCTCCGCCAATATTTATTGGCAGTGTGAAACATTGTCCCTGCAATTAACTATTTCACGTCCATGGAGTTTTCTTCTCCTCTCGGGTGGGGATATACAGGTAGAAGGTGCTGCACATGCTAGGAGACTCCGTGTGGATGCTTCCATAATGTGCATTCTGGTCTTTCATTAATTTTCCTATCAACTAGTCAGTAACTCGTTACCTTTGGTCAATCTAAAGATTGTACGTTTAAGTCACTTACATTCTAACTCTTGGAATTTAGAGCTGACCCAGATTGAGGATCCCAGAGAGCAGTGGAGGCGCGAACAGGAGCGGATGCTGAAGGAGTACCTCGTTGTAGCCCAGGAGGCTCTCAATGCCAAGAAGGAAATCTACCAGATCAAGCAGCAGCGCTTCGAACTGGCTCAGGAGGAGTACCAGCAACTGCACAGAATGTGTGAGGATGACAGCCGCTCACACGCCAGCTGTGAGTTGATTGTCCTACGGTTAACATGCCTGGCTTGAAAAGCCCTCTCTGCTAGGTGATGGGCCAACATTCATCTATGTGGGCAAGACCGCTTCATAGGGTTTCTAACCGCACCCTGTTGGGTAGTCAGGGTTCTGCCGGGGACTCGATGTCATGCGGTAGCCCCTCCTTTAGTGAATATCTGTCAGACAAGGCCTACCCTGTGCCCACACACAGAGATAGCTGGAGCCCAAGAAGGGAGAGGTCTCTGCCCCTGAGGGGCTGACGTTCAGCTTTGGAAGGGAGAAAGCAAATTCCAGGTAGTGACACCAGACGAGCTCACATCTCATGTGGTTGGCATGAGAAAGGGCTTCGCACGGAGACCTGTGTGGTGAATGCTGTTGGCCTGGGGCCATCCTTGGGAGACCCACACAACAGTTTTGTTGATCCTACTTGGGAATATTCAGGGCCTTCACACATGTCGAGTACTTGCCTCTTCATAGAGCCCTTTCTTGAGCAGTACACTGAAGGCGGAGGCACGCGGTGTGGCCCAGAGGATCAGGGGCTATTGCTTTCTGCCCTTCCAGGGAGACTGATATTCTCAGAAGGACCCCCTCTGAGCTTTGGAGGCTGCTGGAGGTGGGCTCTTGGCTCATGAGTCTCAGCAGATACTCAGGTACTGAAGGAACCAGGTCCAGCCTCAGAAGCCAGAGTATTTTGTAATTTGACATGCTCAGTCACTGCTTGAGCCAGTCCCTCCCCGACAGAGCTGTCACACTTAAGAGTCCACCACAGAGGTGTTTGGCCAGGACTGTCCAGGACTCCGGTGAGCTTGGGGAGCGTGTGTGAGATTTTATTTTATAAAGACCTAAGTCTCGTTGGGCCATGGAAGGGCTTACCTGTGACACGACTGTCCTGTTGGCAGGTATTTGGCTCTGGTGACATAGCTTTGACGTTAAAGCTTTACTCTGTGTTGCAAGTCAGAGTGGAGGTGAGGCCAAGGGGCCATATGCCTTTTGATGGCAGTGCTGTTAAAGGTGAATAAGCCATGCAGGCTGTGGGAAGAGGTGGGGTTTCCCCTCTAACAAGAATGTCAAGGAGTTCTGTAACCACGTGCCTAGAGAGAATGTAGGGACTCAGGTATGCTGTCTCCAGGTTGTCTTATCTCTGGTTCTTCAGGTATTGGTATGTAGTAGATTTTGTTTTGTTTTTTCTTTTAACCGTCCATCAGAGTGTGATGGGTCAGTTCAGTGCTAACTTTTAAGAGGCTGGTTTATCTCCACAGTTTTCTTGTAATGTCTTCTGATTTTGGTATCAGGACAATGCTGGCCCCCCACAGAATGGGTTGGGAACTGTTCTTTCCTTCTCTCTTTCTGGAAAAAGTTTGTGTGGGATTGGTATTAAGCTTTCTTAAGCATTCGATAGAATTCACCAGGAAAGCTATCTGTACATAAGAGTTCTTTGTGGGAATGCTTGTAACTACAAGTTCAGTATCTTGAGTGGGTATGAGGAGATTAGGATTTTTTGTTTCTTCTTGAATCAGTTTTGGTATTTGTGCGTTTCAAGGAATTTGTCTATTTTATCTAATCCAAAAATCAGAAACATTTTTATAAAGGGTCATAAATATTTTTGGCTTTGTGGGCCATATGGTCTCAGACACAAGTACTCTGCCCTGTTATGGTACTGAAGCAGCCAGAAACAATACATAAAAGAATGTGTGTGGCTTGTTCTGATCAAAGTGTAAAAATGGGTAATAAGCTAGATTGGCCCACAGGGAATTTGCTGACCTCTGATCCAAGCTGTCAAGCTTATAAAGTTATGTGTAGAATTTCCTTATGATTCTTTTAATGCCTGGATGCTCTGTAGTGGTATCCTTTCTTTCATTCCAGATATTAATAACTTGTGTCTTTTTCTTAATCAGTGTAGCTAAGCTTGTACTGATTGTATTTTTCTTTACAATAAACTGGCTTTGGTTTTCCTTTTTTCCCCTATTGTCATCTATTTTATTGATTTCTCCTCTTTATTCTTTCCTTCCTTCTACTTAGTTTGGCTTTAATTTGTTCTTCCTTTTCTAGCTTCCTAAAGTAGAAACTTAGATCACTGATATTAGACCTTCCTTATTTTCTCACTTAGCCTCAAAAGGTATAAAATTTCCTTCTAAGTACAACGCTAACTGCATGCCGCAAATTTTGGTTTTTTCATTTTTAGTCAGTTCAGTATATTTTCTCATTTCCTTTGTGATTTATTGTTTGACGCACGGGTTCTTTAAAAGTAAGTTGTTGAGACTTTTTACAGATGTCATGTTGATTTCCAGTTTAATCCCACTGTGGTCAGAGACTCCACTATGGAAGATTTCAGTCTTTTGGTATCTCTTGAGATGACTTTTATAGCACAACATACGGTCTCTTTTAGCGCTCTCATAGGATTGGAAGCCCATGGACGGGGTGCCTTGTAGTACACCTAGCTGAAACAAGCTCATAACTATTTCTAAGAATATATAGGTAGCTATTCTAAGTCTTTCAGAAAGTTACTTGGTAAAAACTAGGTTGAACCACATAAAATTGTAATTTTTGTAGCTGAAAAAGGGCCAAATATTGGCAATTTCATATGATTCAGTCTGATAGAGTGTTTCTTCCCAATAGCCTTTAGGGACCTTATCTGTTCCATGGGTGGGTTTGGTTAGGTCTCCAAAGAGGCTCTCTGGTCAGTCTTCCTAAGGATGGAATGCAAGAAAGACATGTCAGAGAGCTGGGAAGGAAGTTTCATGCCAGTGATTGGAAAGAAAAATTACAGCAAGAGGAGGTGTTTATCATGTTCTGGTTAACACAGCACAGCCAGGACTTCAGCTGTAGTGTGCATGGGTGGGAGCTCGGGACTGGAGCCCTAAAAGGTCAGCATGTGGGGTTCCACAGCCGGCACGAGGGGAGCGAGGGAGCAGTCCCAGTGCAACTTGAGCCTGTAGGTTAAGGGCACTCAAAACTTGTAGTTCTGTGGAGCTGTGACATCCCTCAGCATCAGTTTTTGTATTTCCCTGGGTTTTTCACTTCCTTGACATTTGGGCAAATAGGGAATTATACTCAATTACATTTCCTTCCTGTGCTCCATGGAATTTTTTACTGCCCAGTAAAAGAAGAAATACAGACGATGCTGTCTTTGAAGTGGTGCATGAAGAAACCTTCAGCAGAGGAAGCAGATGACTCTGTGGTGTTGACTTGAGATTCTAACATTAGCTCATCAGATTCCCAGCCTGCTAGGAGTCTCTGTGGAGACACAGTCTCTGCAGCCACTGTGTAGGTGGCCGTGGAGGCCAGATGGGGCCTGCCTGTGCTCATGGAGGGCTGGAGGTGGTAGTGATCTTCTGGGGCCCATCACCTCATCGGAGGAAAGACTCCAAGTGGAATCTAGGACCTAATCCAAGTGCTTTATCAGGTTGCTTCTGTCCCTGAGGTTTTGACCATGTTCTTTTCAATTTGCTGTTTCATCTGAACTACCAGTTACAGTGAGGAAAACTCTGTTCAGTATGACTCAAATGAATTATTTCTGGTCACAGGATAAAGCTCAAGGCAGTGATCCGTGGCTGGATCACTGTGATCTAACAGATGTCTCCTACAGAGAGAGGGGTTGGGCCCACGTAAGGAGCCTGATGGCGGCAACATCCCCAGCACACCTGGGCTCCAGCTGGCCACACTGGTCATACTTAGCCCAGATCACCCTCAGTGCTCAGTCATCTAAGCAGGGCAGCGTCTCCTTGCTCCCCTACTGGGAACAGACTAACATTTGGGCCTATTTCCTTTATTGGCAGTGACTTGAGGTGAAGGAACTAATACTCGGTGAGCTAGTGTTTTCTGTGCATTGTTATGATTGCAACATTGTGAAGCACATGATGTTTTCTTCCTTGTACATATGAGAAAAGATATTGGGGAGGCTACATTACGTCTTCAAGGTCACATGCTCAGTATTCAAATCCAGATCTGTTTGCATGTGCAGCTTCCCGTGCTCTGTACGGTTTCCTAGACATGGAAGAGGCAGCTCAGGAAAGCTGACCATGTTTTTGGAACATGTTGCCCTCCCATTGTTCAGGTTACCTGGAAATAAAGACCGATGGAGATGGACAAGTCATCTGGCAATTTTGCAACTTCAGGAGGTGCAAGGAGGGCAGAGCAGTTTCTGCTTCTTGATCTTTCTCTTGACCCACACTAGGATCACTAAGCTATTTGTTTTGTTTCCAGCAGATATTTATGTTGTATATACTAAATGTTGGAGATGCGATTTATCCCCAAGGGCTGATTATAGGGAAAAATGAGGCATTGATGGTGAACAGAGGAATTAACTAGAATAGCCATGTCTAATACTGGAGCAGAAGGATATGACAGAGGGTGGGGGGAGGGGATGTGCATCTCTAACACCCTTCACAGATCCCCTACCACCACCACGTGTTACGGAAACCACCAGAATAAAATTCCATTCATTGGACCAGAAAGATTTTGTGTCAATGTTGGGCCATCTGGTATCTCAGAATGTCCAAGCCTTGACCTTTTTTGTCTCTGACCAAAGCAAATGTAGATACTTTGCTGGATTTGAGCACACATGTCGCCATGAGACTAAGACCCCTACTCTATTTCTGGAAGCTTGAGAACTAGCTGCCTGGTACCCAGTCCTATTTTATGCTTTGTAGAACACTGGGATGCAGCTGGTCTACAATGGACTCACTGTCTCTGAGACACACCCTGTACTTTCTCTACAGCTCTGTTTTGTAGAGTTTTCTCCTACTTTCTTTGTCCTAATATGTTCTTCCATTTGCCTTTTAACCCTGAATACATTCGTTATTTCAGAAACTTTGGTTTTGGAGTTACTCTTTCACTCTTCCTGAGAAACTCCAGCTTCTGGAGGTGTTCAGATGAAGTCTATGACCATTTGCAGAGCCTTTTGGAAGGAGTTCTTGCATCGAGTGAATTATAGTCTGAACCACAGGTCAGCAAATTATGTACGGCCCACGGGCTGAATCTTGCTCACTCTGGGTGTTTGCAGGTAAAGTTTTATTGGAACACAGCCACATCCATTCACTTTTCTATTGTCTGTAGCAGCTACGAGGCAGAATTGAGGAATTGAGACAGACTGTATGGCCCATAATGCCAAACATATTTATTACCTGGTGCTTTGCAGAAAAAGCTTCCCAACCCCAAATCTATCTCAGTGTTTCTGAACCTTGGCTACATAGAAGAATCTCCTGAAGGGCTTTTAAACCTGGGCCCCACCCCCAGAGATTTTGACTTAATTGGCCTTGGATGGGGCCAGACTTTTTTTTTAAGGTTCCCAGGCTATCAGAGTTGAGATCCACTAGTCTAGCAGCAGGAATGTGACTGCTACTCTGGCTCCCAGGAGCTACCAGAAGTCTACACCAAGAGTCTCTTTGGGTGGCTGGGAAAGAGTCGGCCTTATCTCTGGTGAGAAAGTGCTGACCCACCCTGAATTCCTGGGTTAGGTGGTGGTGATTGACCTTATCAGTCATCAGTCCTGCCAGCATTCTTTCTAAGGCTCCAAGCCCTTCCCACAAAGACTGTCTTCCATTGGTTCTCTGGTAAAGGGTTTCTCATCTGCTATCTAGGTTAGGATAAGGGCTGCAGTCCATCCATTCAGCCTTTTGTTTTCGTTCATGCAAGCATGTTGGAACAGGCAGGAGAAGAATGGGTCTCACAGCATTTTTCACAGGTATTAAGTTGGCAAGACTCAGTCTTAAAGGTTGTAGCAAAGCACACATGTCTATTGAGATAATCCCCTAGTCTGTCCTAGGAAGAGAGTTCTTTGGATTTGGTGGCATCTGGTGTTACTTCTGTAGGTCACCTCTGAGTAGGTTTGTTTGATATATTTGTTCCTTTGTTTATGGAGCAGTATAAAAAAAAGTCACGCCCTCTGTTGTTGACCTCAGTTATTTGCATGCATTCCTTTGTAGCTGCCTTGGTAATTAGTACCCGTCAGCTTGGAAACTGTCAGGGCTCACTGGCCTTTCTGTGAGGCCTCAGAGTCCTCCCGGGCAGCCTTGAGCAATTCCCCACTGTGCTGGCGCCTGGCGGTGCCCCCTGGCTAAGGAGCAGTCTGTCCAGAGGATGTCTTGGGAGAAGGACTACTGGTCTGTTACAACATGTCATTCCCCCTGGGGTGATCTTAGGCTCTCACAGCACAGAGGAAGCCTGTGTGTAAGAGAGAGAGACAGACAGATGGACACATGGACATACATGTTTCTCTCTTCCAGTACCGCATAAAATTGAAATCCAAAATAAGTCCTGGGGTCGGCAGCATTTTTGAGTGCTAGATACATGGGTCAGGTTTCCCTAGTGGACCCTGGGCATTGGGGAATTGGAGACCCATGCTTCTTACATTGGAAAAGCTAATCTCGTTGAAGAATCTTGGACAAATGACCCCCCAGGAGCCCAAGTTCTAGACAGAGGTCCTTCTCTGACCGATGGCACAATGTAGGTCAAGTCACTTCAAACTTAGTCTTAATAGTGGGGAAACGCCATCATCATCTCTCACAAACGTTTTATGAGAATAGATGAAATAATGTGAAAGGCACCCCATAATAGCAAGGTATAATAATTTACATGGTTGTGACCCAGCTAAACTATCACCTTATTTCTATATCATCCAAAGCAGTACTGTGCATATGACTGGGCTCCTTAAGCTATTTAATAATACCTCTGCCCACTTAACTCTCCAAGAGAAAAGAAAGCCTCAGAGGTGAAAGCCTGGTATTTATCATAAATCATGAGATCAGAGGCATGTCTTAACAGAGGAAGATATTTTTTTCTAAATGTTCTGGAGTGCATGCCATTTAAAATGTGGTCTAGAGCCTTGGGCTATTCCTTGCACCCTAGAAATGGGTCCCATCAGACTTACTGGCAGACATAGGGAACTGAGAAGTTAGTTGGCTAAGTTGACTTAGGCTATTAAAAGTCACACCGGTGTTCAAAATGTTTCTTTGCACTTGGAGGTAAAATGAACTCACTGTCTTAGGTACATGAGTTGCCTTTTCCTTCATCCCAATCCTGGAATTTTATAATTTTAGAGACCAAAACAAAGGTAACGTGAATGGCATCAATGTAAGTAAAACCTTTTCTACAATTTAGGATGGTTCAGCTGTAGGTAATGGAAGAGACTCACTCCCATGGGCCTGGACAACAAGGCCATCCGCTGTCATATAACAGAGCCCTTTAGAGGTGGAGTGGGCCTCCCCATTGGTGGATTCGGTGGCTCAGTGACGGTGCGCTTCAGCAGGCTGCCACAGGACTGGGTACATGCTGGGCCTCCCTGGGGGAAAGGGGATACCCTCAACCTCAGGGCTCCATTAGTGAGGGAGGAGAGTTGGGGGACAAGTGCTCTGTATTTGTCCAGCTGTGCCCTGTGCATTTCTAGTCTCTTGGGTAATTTTCCTTACAAAATTGCGTAGGAGTTTTATAGCAATGATTTCAGATCATTGTTGCTGATGTTTAACATTGCAGTTAACTTCCCTGGACTTTAGTGGGAGGGTTACTCTCTACCCAGAATGGGAAAGATCCCAGGGCTGTCTTCCTCAACTGCAAGGTGACAAGGTGACATGCAAGGATGTGAGGAGTCAGCAAGCCCAAGGCTTATTTGCTTATTGTATGTGTCCCAACTGGAAGTCCCTTAAGCTCAGGTCTGGGGAACTTAAGTCCCAGGAGTTCAGTGTGGAGATTTGATAGAAATGATTTCTGCCTTGTAAGGGCATTGTTCAATGTGTTGCTTTCGCTATTGATCTTAAGTGCACCAAAGAGTCAGACAGGATGGAAGTTAGGGGATTTGGAAATAGACATTTGTCTAAGAAAGAATTCTGTTTTAAAAACATTTTACTCCATGTCTTTGAGAGATTACAATTCTAAATATAAGAACATTTGAGATAAAGTTGGCAAACACTTAGTTCCTCCAGATATTAATTTCCAGTAGATTCTAGTGGTTTGAAATTCTGACAAATAGAGGCTTAAATAATAGATTTTCTGTAGAACTGTATTTTTTTTTAAAGAAGGAGATATCTGAACTGCTCAAATGAACTGCATCCAACGTTGAGGCTCTTAAATAATCTTGCTGTTTAAAGCACTTGATGGCTTTGAGCCATCCTCTCCAATATAAAGTCAGGAAATGATTTTCAACTAGTTTCTAGTTTGCATCTAGTTATCTGCAAGACAGTCAGCCTTCTGTACCCAGATCAAAGGGGTAAAAGAAAGGTTGCTGGCTCTGCAGATGGGTCTTCTAAGCAGGTGATGTTAGTAGAAGTGGCCTGGAGGGAGATTATAGGAGTTTGGGGTGCTCCACCAGCTAAGGAAGGGATTGAAACCAAGTCACTACACACAGAAGCTGCTGGCTTCAGAAGCATCAAGAAAAAGCACTGTGGGGAGGTGAACAGGGTCTTGGAAATTCAGAGTGGCCACTGGCCGCTTCAGCTGCCGAAACACCAGAAAAGACTTGTGGCTCTCTGTGCAGACGGGAACTGGCAGGCTGTGTAAAAGTCTGCGTGTCATACCCGCCCCCAGGTACTGGCTGTTCATAGCGGTGATGCTGTATCTGTTCAGAGATCGTGCATTGTGCACACTGTGCTGTCTAAGAAAGCATTTAGCTGTGTGGTGGGTTTTAGCTGAATATCCATCAACAGGCTGCTGAATAAAAGTGTGGGTGCTGCACTTGAGTTTGCTAGGTGCAAGCAGCTTGGAAGCATAGCTTTTTCCTAAGCCCTCCAGATACTGACACATTGCTAGAAAGTTCTTTGCCATTTTACAAATCTTTGTGTTTTTTTCTTTCTTATGTCAAGAGTTGTTCATCTGGAGAATATAGATATGAAGAAGACAAAAATAAAGTCTTGTGTAATGAAGCCACTGAGAATAACCATAGTTAGCTTTTAGTTCTGTTCTTCCAGTCACTTGCATGTCTGTGCATTTGAAAAAGCAAAGCTGGATTCATACTGTACGTACTGTTTACACAGTGAGAACAGTTTTCTATACCATGATATCATCCCCTCACTGTGTCTAGGTGATTTTTAACCTTAGTAGTTTTGCAGGCAAATAAACAGTTTTGATTTATCTACAGCCATAATGTTTTATCATGTGGAATCATGTAGCTCACGCAAAAATCAAACATTGAGACTTGAAGTTGTGAACTGTTAATTCCTTAGGAGCCAGTGCCAGCTTGTAGTTCTGCAACTTAGAAGTAGTTATTTGATACGGTGAATCCAAAATTCCAATCTGTGTGTATTTATTTATTTTAAAGGATCCATTATAAAATCAAATATTTTCCTTCTGTTTAGCCTTCTCTGGATATTCAACAAATACAAAGTACGACCCATACCAAATTAAAGCAGAAATAGCAAGTCGTCGGGACAGGGTGAGTAAAACGGGTGTTTTCACAACTAGCAGCCCCATATGTATTTTTATGTAACATCACATATCATGGTTCATTCTATGGTGGTCAGTGTGTCCAACACTCATATTTTAGTAAGATTTTCTATTTCATTTGGTCTTACTCTCCACTCTTTTCCCAACAGGAGGGGGAAAGTTTCACTTTAAAACCTCAGCTGATCTAACCAAAAAAATCACCCGTATCTAGACTCGTCCCCCTATTTGGAAAGACTTGGTGACATCAGGGCCTGATCTCAAAGGGCTGCTTCCCTGTCAGCGGGGTGCCAACCCTGGCCCTCCGCAGCTTTAGCGGCTGCTGCCTCCCCAGGTTGCTGTATTCCTGGAGGAGTCCTGCAGCAGTGGCGTTAGATCGGAATGCTGTGACGCTCCTTCCCCGTGACGCCAGACTTCTTTATGTGCCTCCTTGTTCCATCCCTTCGGCCCCTTGTCTTGGTTGTCTGGGAAGGGGGACGGTTTTGATGCATTTGCAGCAAAGCACAGGAGACATCTTGGAAATGAAGCTCTTGTTCTGGTCTCGTTCTCCAAGCCAGAGTGTCCCTCTTAATGTAGTGGTTCTCAAACTCCAGTGCATCTGAGTAGAACACCTGGGGAGTTGGGAAATATGTGAGCCCCCAGGCCCAGCCCTCAGTTTTAGCACAGACTGAGGCAGGTCCTGGAATCTGTAAATAGCACTCAGGGGACTGACTCCCAGGTAGTTGGAGACTGGGATCCTGCTTTTAGCAACAGTGTTTCCTATGTGGGATGTGGGAGTGGTAAGTAGAAGGGAAGCTGACAAAAGTATTACATGGTTTGCTAAGTGTGATGTGTAGCGCAATACCTTGAAAAAGGGAATAGTTGCTGGTTCCCTGGTCCACGTGGGTAGGAGCCCGTTAGTGTTCTGGGGTTCTTGTGTCCACGCAGCGCAGTTCTTACAGGATGGCTATTTTATTTGCCCGTGAATGCATGTTCACGGAGAGGATAGATGATCCAGTGACTCGGAAGCTAATCAGAAACTTAGATGACAGTGCTAACAATTGTAGAAATAATTTTTCACAGCTTTTTTTTTTTTTGGAAAAAAAATGTAATTTGTCTTTAGCTTTCCAGATTAAAACGAGAGCTGACCCAGATGAAGCAAGAACTGCAGTACAAAGAAAAGGGGGTGGAGACCCTGCAAGAGTGAGTTGCCTGCAATTATAGAGGAGAGATGGTTCCTGGGACTTATTTTTGTGCTGACCTGTTTTGGTACCTGGATGTGGGTCCTATGGCTTTGTGGGTGTTCCCTTTTATGCTTTTATCTGTGGTCATTATTTCCCAGTCCTATGTATCAAAATCTTCCTTTTCCTTGAAGATCCTTTACTCCTTTAAATGAAAATACTTGGGAAACAAGACCTTTATTTTCTATCTCTGCATATTCTTGAGAGCTACACTGTCCAAGACATACATGGCTGTTTAAATCCAAATTCTAGTTTTGGTAGTTTTAGTCTCTTAAATTTTTTAATTCTAAAATTTAAATTAAAATTATGGAAAATTTAAAATTTAGCCCCCTGCCAGTCTCAGTAGCCACATCTGAAATGCCCAGTAGTCACATGTGACTAGTGTGGATTCTCTCTCCCTCAGTGCCATTGACACTTTGGACCAGATAGCCCTTTGTGGCAGGCGCTCTTCTTGTGCACAAGATGTTGAGCGGTATCCATGGCCTTGACCCCCTAGATATTAGTTGCACCCTCCCACCCAGCTGTGACAGCCAAAAATGTCTCCCGACACTGCCAAGTGTTCCCTGGAGGGCACATGTGCCCCTGGTTGGGAACCACTGGACCAGTAGCCACTGCACTGAACAGCACAGGTAACAGAAGTTTTCCATCATCACAGAACATGCTGTTGGGCCATCTGCTCTGTAGGGCTTCTTCCTGTTGGTATCTTGACAATTAGAACCTTCTCCCTACTAAGAGTCTGAATCCCCATATCATTTGTGTGCTATCCTAAATCAGCAAATTCAACAAACAAAAGTGATTTTATAAATGCTGGGGGTGTTGATATGAAAGAATTAATTTTCTTAAGAAAGAGTATTGTATGCTTGTTGGTCAAGAGTCCATTTTCCCTCTATTTGGAGCCTGGCTTCACTTGCTGAACTTGAGCATGTGCTTCATATGTTCTGCACCTACTTTTCTCATCTGTCTGGGAACTGTCTTAGCTCGGGCTGCTATGATGGAAAAGCAGACAAAAAACCAGGGTCAAACAGCAGACATTTACCGACATTGCTGAAGGTGAGACACCCAAGATTAAGGTACTAGCAAACTTGGTGTCTGGTGAGGGCCTGCTTCCTGCTGTTTCTTCACATGATGGTGGTGATGGCGGACCTCTATTCTCTGGGTGTCTCTTCCTCTTCTTATGAGGACACTCACTAATCCCATCACGGGGGCTCCACTCTCATGACCTCATCTAAACCTAAACCCCCCAAAGGCCTGTCTCCACATACCGTCCCATCAGGGGTGAGGGCTCACCATGTGGGTTTGTGGGGGATGCAGACTTCTGGTCCATAGCAGCGGTCACTGGGCTCAGTTGGTAGGAGGGCAGTCCTGGTGACTGCTGCATACTCAGCGGTCAGCCAATGCCAGGGTCCGTGTGATCACTCTTCTCAGTCAGGGTGGGCAGCGTGCCACTCTCTGGCACCCCGTGCGCAGGTGCCATGGCAGTGTGTCAGGTGTGACTGCAGTATTGCTCTTTAGATGGTGGCAATCCAAGAAGTGCTTGCCAAGTGTGATCATCTCAGGCACATACAAAGGGTAATTACCAGGCACATCAAACCCTGTTGTTTAACGCAAGGTTGAGACTCACATTTTTAATAATCCAGGATTGCTCAGAGCCTGCTGGGGTGCTTCTCTGTGCTGTGGCCCTGTGCTCCTGGGTCACTCCTGCTCCAGGGCTGGACAAGAAGCAAGCAGAAGCAAATAATTTCATTTGGGAGGTCTTCAGAAGTTGCTAGGACTTTCTGGTTGAATTGGAGGTCGATCTCATCCTTCCCTTCGGCTACCCCATAGCTTCCTCTCATTACCAGGAAGAATGAAGGCTTCACAATGTCTCTAGATAACTCCTCATTTAACGCTAGGCATCGTGTGGCCTGGGGGTAGCAGTTAATTCAATTCTCACTCCTAGAAGCTCTGGTGAAGGTGACCTGGGTCTCGGCTGGTTGTGGAACACAGGACCCCTGAGCCTCAAAGGGGAGCCCTATCCAGCACCCTTCCCCACCAGCTCAGCCTTCTGCAGGGTTGCTGGGCCCAGCGCCTCTTCCTTGCCTGGCCGCCTTCATTCTGGCATCAGGAAGACAAAGGTTTATACTGCAGTGTCACCTTAAGACTGAACGCTCTAGACAATAAAAGGAGCCTGTGCTCAGGTGACTGAGAAAATCCCTTCTCCTTGGCATCACTAAGAAGTAAATTCATCTCTTGTAGTTGAACTAATTTAATTAAGAGTGGGAAAGACAGCCTCCGTGTCTCCAGGTTTATTGGATGGGAAGCCGAAGCTAGTACAGGGAGAGTGGTAACTTTACAGCTGCAGCCAGGGTGGAGTATGAGTTGTGCCCCTGCGAATAGAAGGGCCACTGCTATTTGTATTTTCTCTTTGCTTTCCTTAGCAAGAGCCCACGTTCGGGAGCAGCAACGGGAAATGTTGCTCCCTGTCGAGAGGATGATCCTCAGAACCTCACTCCCTGCCAGAGCCTGGGGGAACACCCGCCCCACAGGGGAGGCTGACGAGTGGCATGGGAGAAGGTTTTGGACCTGGCCTTGATCCTGAGGGCCCACCCCAGCTCTCCAGATGGTACCACTTTGGAGAGGCAGCGTGCTATTGGCTGCTGCGTTGTTCCCACACATGTTCACTGTGCTGTGTGACACAGCCTCACAGGAAGGAGAGAAAACATGGGCTCTTGGGCCATGCTTAAAATCCTTTGCAAGTGAAAAGTAACTGGGATAGCTTTCCAGTGAGTTACACAGGCTCGGTAGGAGACAAAAACAGACTCAATATTTTTCTGATAGTGAAGATTGGCTCTTAATGTTTGGATGGAATCCTGCAGATCGGTAAAATTTATTGAGAAATTCAAAAACCTTCCGTAAGTATTCATACTGTGATTACCCCACCCTAGTGTAAACGCCTAACTCTAAGCACAGATAACACATGAGCTGTTGTACATAATGGGCTTTTTGGATATTATTACCAACATCAGTTGAAGGTGATGTTCTTGCTTCCCAGAATATGCAGTGCATTCTTTTCCAGAGCACCGCACCAGGAGTTTGGCTGCTTATAACATTTTAAACTCTTGCTTGTTTATCTTGGTGAACTTTCCTGGCAAAGAAGAATATCCATCATTATGCTTGGGTCCAAGTGAGGAAAAAAGAAACTTTTGTATTCTTTTTCAAGTCTATGTCTGCTGTTAATTTTTGTAGATGGGAGCTGGCCTTGTACACAGTTTCTGGGTTAAAGATAGAATGTATATGTGTGTGTGCGTGTTTACCATATAACCTTTTAATGATGGAGTATGTTGAACATAACACAAAAGTCGAGGAACCCTCTGTATCCCTCACCCCACTTGAACGTTAAGTCCACAATGGCCAATCTTGTATTGAAGCAAATCCCAGAATCATATTTGATCCATAAATACTTCTCCTAAAGCTATGGACTCCTTTTGAAAACTTAACTGTAATATAATACCTCTCTCCCACTCAACAGTACTTTTTTAATATAGTCCCTTCCCCAATGAGCTTTCTGGTTTCTCCGGTTTGTCTGGGTCCAGGTTCGGACAAGGCCCGCACGGTATGCTGGGATGATGTGTATCTTAATCTTAGCTCCCCTCTCCTTTTCTTTTTCTTCTGACAGTTTATTTGTTGAAGGAACGAATTTGCTTTTCCAGTACAATTTCCCTAATACTGGATTTTGTGGCTTGATGTCTCTATGGGTTATTTAATATGCTCCTCTGTCCCCTGCTAGTTATACAAACTGATGTAATTACTTTGAGAGGCTTGATCTGATTCCCATTCAGTTTCTTCTCCTATTTTTTTTCTTGGAGGTAAGTATATTTTGTAGGTGGTGCTGTTACTTCCATCACGAGGTACACACTCTTCATTGTCTCTTCTTGTGGTGTGAAGATTCCCAGTGGGGCCTGGCCTTGTCAGCCTGATTCATGCCCTTGTAACATTTCCCACCAGCTTTTCCCTGAATGCAATGCATGTATAGATACCAAAGATTTCAGGATGAGTTTCCAAGCGAAAGTGGGTCTGCCAAGTCAGAGGGCAAGTACAGCAATGGCATCCTTGGACATGGCCAAATGCTCCTCTTGAGGGGCTGTGCACGGTATGCTGGGATGATGTGTCACCACTAGCAGGTGAGTGGCCCTGTTCCTGCAGCTTTGCCAGCAGGTGTTGTCAGGCTGTGGCATTTTTGCTTGTCTCACAGATGAGATACAGTATCTCAGTGTAGTTGTAATTTGCATTTCTCTTGAGGCCCTTTATAAAATCTTCAGAAAATAAGAGTAACATTTGTGAATAACAAAAGTTGTTAGAAAAATTGAGCTTTTCCAGTTAAGGAGCTTCAGGGCTCTCTGCCCTCAAGTTTCCGAAGCTCGTTTGGAAACCTTATCTTAATATCACTGGTTGCCAGCATCCAGTGGCAGAGGGGCAGACTCAGCTAGGGTGTGTGCAGTTTTCCCAGTGAGTGCTGGCATGAGAACGTGCCCGGCGGGCCAGTAGGTGCGGAGCATTTCCCTCTCTATTCTAGGCCTCCTGGAGATCTGCGGTGTGCCTCCTCTTACATTCCGACTCCTCCTGCAGCCAGGAAGCTCATTCAATGCGCCTTCACACTGAGTTTCCCATGCCTTCCTGCCACTGCAGCCCCGGCCCACTCACGTCCCTGAGGGATGCCCATGGCGCTTTGGGAGCACCACCTGCCAGACCTCTGCCTGTCCACTGGCTCAGTGTGCCTTCTCTGCACCTGCACCCACTGCCTTCTCCCGGCTTCCACCGCGGCTGAGCCATCCTCACACTGAACCCCAGGGATTCTTAAACTGCCTCCCGGCCTGTGGCCCCTGGGGCTTTCTCTCTCAGTTAGCTTACAGTCCTCTCTTGCAGTGTTGCCCCTGTCCTGACCTCTTTACCCCCAGCCCCCTCCTCCACACCACCACTCACTGA